ATGAGTTAATTTTTTTTTTTTTTAGCTCCCACGTGTGAGTGACAACATGTGATATTTGTCTTTCTGTGCCTGGCTTATTTCACTTAGCATCATATCCTCCATTTCTACATATGTTGTTGCAAATGACAGGATTTCAGTATGGAGATACTTCAGAAAACTAACACTAGAACTTCTGTACAATCCAGCGATCCCACTGCTGGGTATATATCCGAAAGAAAGGAAATTAGCACATGGAAGACCTATCTGCACTCCCGTATTTATTGCAGCACTATTCACAACAGCCAAGAAACGAAATCAACCTAAGTGTCCATCAACAGATGAATGGATAAAGAAAATGTGGTATATGTACACAGTGGAATATTATTCAGCCATGGAAAAGAATGAAGTCCTTTTATATCTTTATCACTATCCCCTATTCTTTTCCCAATCTTTGCTCAAGTAATGCGTAGCTTTGATTTGTCCATATCCCCATGTCTAACCCTGTCAGAGATAACTCACCCTCAGTGGAGCTATCTTCAGTGGCAAAATGGGTGGTAGCAGTGAAGCAGACTTTGACATTTATTTGGCATCATTAATACAAGCTAGGTTTGTAGCTAGAACTCCTTTCTAGCTCTCTGGAATGAGCTGTCACATCCTCTCCCAAAACCAGTGAGAAGACAGTGGAGCTGAGAACTATCAACTCTGGAATACCAATTTCCATGGATCTACCACCAGCAAGCCCAGATTCACCAACTGGGGTATTTTTCATGCCCCTCACTATTTCCAGCTTGATATCAGAGGATGCATTCCCATTGCATCGCATCCCCCAAGCCTTGTTTCTAGTAAATTCTCTGGAATAATACTGTTCTGCTGCATGCTTCTGTTATTTTTGCCCCTAGTTACATCACTTAAATTGCTGCTTAACTGTGTGCATAGCTATGCCATAATTAACTAATCTTCAAATATGGCACATTCTGATTCCTTCCCAACTTTTTTTGCTGTTACAAGGCATGGTAGGCCATGGCCTTGCTAAGATCTAAGCACCTGCTTTTCAGTTATTTCTTGCTTCTTCATCCACCTATTTGCCTCCTCAGTGAATGCTTGCAGGTGTGGGTTCTCCCTTTTAGAAACACATCACCCAATATGGGATTCAAATACATATTTGAATAACTGAGTAACCTTGTTATAGTATGGTAAGTATCATGCTTCAAAACTTGGATTTTACCTGTTTGCTTGCTGTGTGACAAGATATATAATATCTCTGTGCTTCAGTTTCCTCACCTATGATACAGCGATAATAATAGTACTTATCTCACAGAGTTGTTGTAAGAATTAAGGAAATGATGTTTGAAAATAGCACAGAAGCGTCCAGCATTTAGTGCATGCTCAATGTTGGCTGTCGTTAATGATAAGCTTGCTTTATCTTTTTATTCATGCTATTAAACCTGAATTTTTATGGAAATATGGCTACAGAGAGAACTTTTTTTTTTTTTTTGGCAAGGAATGTAAGGAGCAGAGAGGGGAGTACAGTGGTCTCAAGAGGGTAAAGCACATATTAGGAAATATGATCAGTTCTAATTATGGGGCCAGGTATCACAATTTCTAATATGAGGGAGTTGCTGAACCAGGACACAGGCTGTCAGAGGTGTTTCATTATCAGTCAATTTGGCTGAGATCTGCATAGTCACCAAACATCAAACCATCACCCACCATCAGTGAGGTCGTGTGTTCCCACACACTTAAACTATTACGATATTTCTTGTTACTGAATGGTGTACATGTATTTTCTCTTTCCCCTAGCATTCTTTTTTCTTCCTTCTTTTCTTCTAGTGTAAGTAGAGAATAAGGAAAGTTCTTATTGACTTGGGCTTGTCCTAAAAAATAGACTTTGTTGTACTCATTTGACCTCCTTTTCTGTAAACAGTTTTCCACTGTTCAGCAGAGTTCTGGCAGCTGCGAGACCCCTCAGTGGGAGCAGGGACTAGGTATAAACTTGGAAACTATTTTAGGAGATAGGAAAATGTGGGGAATTTGGGGTCATTTGTTCACTCTCAACTGCGAGAGGAGTACAACAAAAACATCTGAATTAAGGATTTTTCTGCATTTTAATTATTAGACCAAGTCCTTGCTTGATGATAAGAAAATAAATCCAACGATAAATCAAATGTATGAAGGAAAGACCAGGCATGTTTCTTATCTCTGTGTTCTCAAGTGCTGAAACCAAAATTGCACGTCAAAATGCTGATCTTCCTTCTTAATCATGTACTAGACTAATGGAGCCCCAGAAAGAGTAAAGCCATCAGTTCTTTTACTTAGGCAGAAATTCTTGCCCATTCCTTTGGATCACGTTGCTGGTCCTCCTTGTATCCTACAGTGTTACTGTGTGGGACAGGAGCCTTGGAGGAATTGCCAAACTCCAGGGCACGTGAGCAATCTGCGAGCGGTCCAGCTCATCAGCAGGCTTGTATCTTACGAGGTTTTCTTCCGACCCAGGAGTCCACTTCAGCCTTCCTTCAGAAAATGTTTCCTAGAATATATTCTTGCGTTTAAACTACACAGAAGTTGTTTTCTAAAGAAAAAGCAGGAAGAAAGAATTGATTAACCATTACTTCCAACTCAATATTGTCTGCTAGAAATTTTATGGACGCTGGATATCACAGAGTGCTTTCACTCTAGAGAATGGGTGTCTGTTCTAGAACCCATGATGATTTTCCAGATTTCAAAATTTCTTCCATGTATTCAGGGAAAATACAAGTAGAGAAACATTACTATTTTTTAAGCCTCATTAAGTCAGCATTGTAGATCAAGGCCTCCTCATGGGTTACAGACGAAAGTGGCAACTGTATGACTGTGTCACCTCAGTGTCCATCAAGAGAGAATAGTACATCCATAGTATGGAATCTTATATAGCCATTAGAAATGAAATACCTCTACTGGATAGGCACTGATGGGGAAGCTCATCTGTCATAATTTCTTTAGAAATATAGTGGTGCAAAACATTATTCAGAGTGTGATCTCATTTTTGTAAAAACGTAAAACCAAAATGTATAAATGAATATATAGGTATAGGTATCTGCTTCATTAAGAATAAGAATAATATATTTTAACTATCAACAGTGGATTACCCAAGGTATTGAAAAAAATTTTTTTAATTGGGGGGGATGGGGGCAAAGGAGTGGGAGGCGTTTTCACTTTTTAATTTATTCACAACTGCATTGTTTGGAATTTTGTTCGTAAACATGTGTTTTCATAGTACTTTACATAATTTTTTAAAAAATGTATCAGGAATGAACCTCTCTGTATATCTGGTGGTTTGAAGCTCTATTCGAAAAGAAAACACAAAGTCAACCGGCAAATAGTGCAAATGACAAGTGTCTCTTCTCCTGAAGAAACTCCTTTAAAATTACAGTATAAATTGTCTCACGCTTGCAAATATATAGCTGATACATGTCACAGATTACAAGAGGTAAAAATGAAATCCAAGGCTGTTGTATGAGAGAAATCATTACATCTTATCTGAGTGGCCTGATAATAATAGCAAAAAGGAAGCATGTATATACAGCTTTAAAAGATGCCGAAAGTATGCAAGTATTTTCATAATAGTCCTAGGAAGGTGTGCTGCCTCTGTATTATGACACCTAACATCATAGATACTGATTGTCATCCTTACACCTTCCTTTTTAAGAGTTCCATCTCAACATAGAGGACAACCATTTCCATGGCAATGAATCCAGTAACTAGTGAACATATTTGTATTGAGAACCTAATGTTAGGGGTACAGAAAGCGCAAAGACAAATGAGAGCCAAGAATTTCCCTCTGAGATGAAGTACTAGGATGCTACATGGGCACACAGTGCTATGAATAAACTACAACTTTTTTTTTTTTTTTTTAAAGACAGGGTCTCATTCTTTTGCTCAGGTTGGACTGCAGTGGTGCGATCTCAGCTCACTGCAACCTCTGCCTCCCGGGTTCAAGTGATTCTCCTGCCTCAGCCTCCTGAGTAGATGGGATTACAGGCATGTGCCACCTTGCCTAGCTAGTTTTTGTGTTTTTAGTAGAGACGGGGTTTCGCCATGTTGGCCAGGTTGGTCTTGAACTCCTGACCTTAAGTGATCTGCCCACCTCAGCCTCCCAAAGTGCTGGGATTACAAGCGTGAGCCACCGCACCCAGCCAAACTAAGACTTTAGAATAGAGTGGTTCGTCCCTCCAAAGGTAGGTGTTTTGTTTTCTATTTTGTTTTGTTTTAGGTTAGGAAAAACAAAATGATTGTAAGCAGAGAGGAAAGAATCAGTATAGAGAGGAGATGAAGAGGTGATTAAGGGAAAAGAGGTAGTTAAATAGATATGCCCTGGAAGAAGCAAAGAGAGAGCCCAGCGGAGAGACTGACCTTAGACAGAGGAAGAATATCATCCAGAATCTACAGAGGCAGGAAGAGGGCCTGAGAGGGCCTGAGCAGTGGGGCGAAGGAGGAGGAAACAAAGGGGTCTGTGTGACTTTCTCCATCTGGTGAGAAGTGACTTTACTGACAGAGTGTGAAAGAGTAGTGGTAGGTTTGGGGGCTGTAGAAAGACTTGGAATAGGCACTGTGAAGAATGGAAGGTCACCTGGAATGATTACAAAGATAGTGTGGCGTCACTGAGGTGCCAGGTGAGGCAGAGTAGCATGAATTTTTAGTGAAATTAATTTTAAAAATATTCTTGTTACTTTTTCTAGCAAACGCAGCAGCCAGGCACAGGGGCATAGAAATTCGGAGTGGCTAAAATGGATTGAGTGTAGAAATCAGATGATTCCTATAATGAAAGCTTCATATGAAAATTTACTGGAAATTAGTCAAATAATTGCTTCATTACAGATTTCACTTTGTCAGTGTTTTTCCCTTAATTTTTATAGTCAAATGTGTACTTCTATAAAGAGGTGGAACAATATCCTGTACTTTAAATGTTAACCAACCAGGTAATGCCATTAGAATTTCTAAAGCGTCTAGCTCACAGCTGCTTCTCATACATTATGTATTTTTAGGCTGGAAAAACTAATAACATCCTTTCTGGAAGACCAGGATCCAGAGAGCAGATTAGAGGTTGGCGCTGATATGCGTAAAATTCATCACTGTTTTCATCATTTAAAGGTAAACTTAAATGTTTCCCCAATAAAGCCATTTTCAGCCATGTTCAAGCTGCAAAAAAGCTTTTCTAGTTGACCAATTCTTGGAAGGTTAGGATCCAGCAGTATATACCCAGAAAATGATATGGTCTTTGAACCAATAGTCTGATTATCATTGAGTTTCTTCAGAGATTATGTCTTACTTGCCAATAAATAAACTCAGGCCATGGACTTCTAATTCTTTTGCCAGGAAGCTCTACCTTCTGCACAGAATAGTTCCATATTTTTAAAAATATATTTTCCTCCCTGAGGGGAGCATCACACACTGGGGTCTGTTGGGGGGAACAGGGGAGGGACAGTGTGGGGTAGGGAGGTTGGGGAGGGTAACATGGGAAGAAGTGCCAGCTATAGGGACAGGGGGATGGAGGCAGCAAAGCACATTGCCATGCATGTACCTGTACATACATGTCCTGCATGATCTGCACATGTGCCCCAGAACCTAAAGTGCAACTATATAGATAGAGATATAGATATAATTATATATATATTTGTTTATATATATATATAATTTGTTTTTCCTATATATACATATATAATTATATATATTTTTCAAGCTATATCAAGAGCATTGCATTCTGCAGTTTTTCAACAGTTTGATATACACATATGATATTTCAGTTTTTCTCTGCCTTAGGTTTTAATTTTCATGATGAAGGGCTGGGAATATCATCCCTTTTACTTCTAGCTGGCTTGTATTTTTGCATACTTCATTAATATAATAAACATTTGTTGTGAGTTACTAAGGGCCAGGTATAGATAAGGCAGAGTTTAATAAGTAAGTCATGGAGAAGACAGATGTTGTAAAGAATAATCACAATACATGATAAGTACTAGAATAAAAGCATGAATTAAGTGGAATGATATATAGAGAAAGGGAAAGGAGTCCAAGAGGAGATAATGTTGAGTAGGAATTTCCCAAGTTAGGGAAGGAGAGAGAAGATACAAGGGGGCTGAGGGGGTTGGGGAAGGAAGAGGGAAAAGAAGGCAGGTTGAAGGGAGAAAACATGCCAAGCCAAAAAAGCAACTTCATCACAAAGGCATTGCACCTGCCTCAGGCAGGTCACACATGCCTGATGTGTGCAGGGAATGGTTAAAGGAAAAACGGTCAAAGAAACAAAGAAATTTGGACTAGAGATATGGATGCTAAGCTCTTACTTCATCTTACAGAAACTATTGAATGACAAGAAGATCCTTGGAAACAATACAGTCTCCTCTGAAAGCAAAGACCAAGACTGCCAAGAACCATTAAAAGAGGAAGAATATAGAAAGCTACAAGATATTCTAAAGCAGAGAGATAATGAAATCAGTATCCTTTCTAAAATGATGAAGAAACTTCCTCTCTCCTGGTTTGAAAGGGGTGAACAACAGTCTTTCCCGAGCCACATGGCTGAGCTCCCCACCTAGCTTCCAATTCACATTGCTTCTTTCCATTGAGAAGTCAAATGTCCCTTCAGCAAAGTACTGCAACTAGTGAAAAAGTGTTTCTATAAAAGAAAAAAAAAATGTGTTTGTTTTTAACCTGACATGGTTACTCTTGCAAGGAACATTTTAGTTTATTTTAAAGTATGAGCTTTTTTACACCATCTTTTAACGTTAATTTTTAAAAATACATTGTTTGGCTCCTCTGTTTGTTCTTTTTGTTTTAGCCCTGAGCCAGTAAGTTAGCTGGTTATCTTTAGCGAGCTGACCGGACACCAGGCTGACCACAGCCTCACCATGGCCCAGAATTTGTGGCTGGTGCGTGGGTGAAACTCAAATGATGGCTGAAAAACGACAAATGGTATTTAGCTTATGAAGAGCAGAGATTGATTTAAATTTAACTTCTTATTTAAAAGCCAGATCTACTGCTGTGAGTTCCACTTACAAATGTTCCCAAATTCGGAAGTGAGTATAGATGAGTGTTCAAGATAGAATTCTTTTTTTTTTTTTTTTTTTAGCTAAACTGATCAGTACCAAATAAGATAGAATTCTTATTGGCTCCAGGAGGCAGTGTATTTTGGGTGCTGAAAGTGGTAGTAGCCCGTGGGAGCATGTGCTGCCTCTAGTTGTAGACTAAATGGTTACTTCTAAGGAGCCCCTGTCGGGCTGGGTGGCCCTCAGGCCTCCCAGATCATTATTCAGTATTGTTTCTCATTTTATCTTTCAAGCTTCTTGTAAAAAGATTTTGATATTTTCATTGCTTTTGCAGAATTTGAACATGCACAAGAAATCCTTTTGGTCCGTTCTTTACAAACAGATATTTTTGTTCATTTTAAAAAATTACTAAGAGACACTTTTCGCTTCAGCTGTTTATGCAAAATGCGTGAAACTAGTCTACACAAAGGAAGCCCAGTAATAAAGAGGTAAAAACAGACCAAATGTGAGGTAGGCATGCTGCCTGATTAACTTGGGTCTCTGATTTTATTTGAGTATTAGCAGACCCTGTGTGTCAGATTCAAGTGAGTTTAGCTGGCTTGTTATCTGGCCAGGAACAGTGGGTTCAGCTGAGAATTACCCCCACCCCGACGCAAGCCTTCATCCGTCAGTGCTGCCCACGGTGTTGTCACCCTTGCATTCCCTTTCCTTCCTCTTACACCGTCCATCTCCAAGCATGGTCTCCGCCTGGACCTCAATCCTGGCCCCAGCCCCAGCCTGAGCTCTGCTTCTTTTCCTGGCCTTGATCCTAGTCTAGGATCTTCCCCTTTAATTCCTCCTACCAACTTCTTAATCCCCGTCTGGGCTTATGAATGTCTGCACATATAGGAGGGATGAAACGAGATATGACAGAGAAAGAACAGTCCAAGCTTGTTCCTATATGTTTATTTTAAAAAGAGAGTGAAAGGGAGATATCCATCACCTCCCCTCCTTCACTGTGGTGACTCCAGGCATCACTGTTCATGTGGGGCTACCCTAGATTCTTTGCTGACTGTCAGCAATTCAAACAGCGCTCCCTCTATCTGAGACGCTTATTCAAAATGATGGAGAGTCAGAGTGGAAAGAATATTGCACTTCAATTCACACCTGGATTGAAATCCTAGCTCTTCATTTATTAGCTGTATACCTACTCAATGTAGTTGCTTTTTATTCTTTAGGAGCAGGAGCATAAGACCTGCTGAGAAAAGCCCATAAGTGGCTGGGCATGGTGGCTCAAGCCTGTAATCTCAGCACTTTGGGAGGCCGAGGCAGGCAGATCGTGAGGTCAAGAGATCAAGACCATCCTGGCCAACATGGTGAAACCCTGTCTCTATTAAAAATATAAAAATTAGCTGGGAGTGGTTGCACATACCTGTAGTCCCAGCTGCTCGGGAGACTGAGTCAGGAGAATCGCTTGAGTCCGGGAGGTGGAGGTTGCAATGAGCTGAGATCATGCCGCTGCCCTCCAGCATGGTGACAGAGCAAGATTCCATCTAAAAAAAAAAGAAAAAAGAAAAGCCCATAAGTGCTTTGAGCACTACCGAGTGTGATGTAATTGGAATTATGACTATGACGACAATGAGTAAGCTCAGAAGAAGGAAGAATAGCAGCTAAGATATAATCATCTCAGAGCTGTGCTTATCAAAGATCAACAACCAAGAAAGACTCCTTAAGTTTCACAGTTATGCAGAGTCGGATGGGAGGATGTTTTCATGTCTTTTTTTGTAGAACCCAGAAGGCTAAGACTGTGACACAACAAATGGGAAAGATCTAGCTTCTAGGAAAAAAAGCAATTATAATTGAGTTTAACAAAAGACAGTCATGCACCCACATGATTGTGAACAACATCAGATCTTCTTGGAAAGGGAGTGAAAATGATGTCCTGTCAGTGACATCCTCAGTTTGAGTGACGTTCACACACCCTTCATAAAATATATGACAGCGGAATTGATTACCCAGCAAAGTGCTTGGCACCAAGGCCACTCCCATAAATGGGAGTGGGGAGGACAAGAAGGCAGGCGAAAGGTGAGAAGAAGGAAGGCAGCACAGAAGATAGATTGATATTGTGATCTTTATGACAGGTACGTCAGAACGCATCATTATTCTGATGGAAATCTTCAAGGGGCTTCCCATGATACTTAGAATGAAACCAAACTCCTTGCTCCGGTTTACAAGGCCCTGGGGGATCTTGCCCTGCCCACCCACAACCTCATTTCTCACACCTCATCCCATGTGTGCTCTGCTTCAGTCACAGTTACCTTCTTGTCGTTCTTCTAACACAAGGTTCCTCAGCCTTGGCACTATCAACATTTGCGGCTGGATAATCCTTCATTGTGGGAGCTCTCCTGTGCGTTGTATGATGTGGGATCACAGGGTTGCAGTATTATGAGCCACTGCTGGGCCTGTTTCTCTTTAGGGATTTCATCATTTCTGCATAGACGCTCTTCTTCTGGCTGGTTCTTCGTATGGGTCAGATCTCAGCTTAAAGATTACTCTTAGGCCTTTTGTAGCAGCAGCCACCCAGTCACCCTTGAGCTTCTTCAAATTAGATATCTGGCATTCTGACTTTGTGTATGCGTGCGTGTGCCTGCACGCATGTGTGAGATCTCTTTCCCCAGTAAGACATCTGCTTCATAAGGGCAAGACTAGTCTGCCTTGTCATTGCTCTATACCCATGCCTAGAACAGGGCCTGGCATCTATAGCACAAGCTTCAGCAAGTATCACTGACTGAGTGAGCAAACGGATATTGCCATTGCAGTGTGTGAACCAGTGGAAGTGTATGATGACATTGGTAATCAGTTCCATACAAAGAGGAGCAGCGCATTGAGCCAGAGCCCTCATCTCTGTCGTGTTCATGCTTAGATACTAAGAAGCTGTGAACATTTTTGGTAAGTACGTGTTGTTTTGGGGCAAGGAATGAAAGCCACATCAGAGAGAGAGAAACTGATTATGCTCCCAGAAATCACCAAGTGGGAGTTAAAGCTGAGGTGGAAGGTGAAGGTCAAATGACTTCCATGCTGCTTGCCCAAGAATAAATACAATCTGGGTACCTCTCCCCCTTTCTAAGTAGTAGTGTTCTCTCCCACACCATCGCACATTTAGACTCCCATTTTAATGAGCCTTCTCTAGGGATGCAAAGGCATTGAATTCATCTTACCACATATGCAATTAGAGTTCTGAGATTCTCAATAGGGATTCTAGTCATTCCTTTTAGCAGATTGGACAAAAATCTCTTAGAATTCTAGGCATCTTGAGCCCAGAATGAACGGCGAAGTAGGGTAGAGGGGAGTGCTTTTATCCCTTATCATCAATGGTCTTGGCATATCTCAATGGCCCCCAAAAGGTGCATTTTAAAATGATATGTCTGTACTAATAATTCACGTCTTTTCAGTTCCATTTGAGTACGAAAATTAGTGGCTGAAAAAGCCCTCATCTGAAGGTACTCTACATAAGCATGTGTTGAGCTTGGAGTGCGTGGCTGCACCTTTGTCACCACACTGGCCACCAGGAGGAAGATGGCTGATCTGCCAGCTGGGTGGGTTTCACCATTCTCCCTCTCTGCTCTTCTGCTGCCTCCTGAGCAGGCGTGTGCTCAACCAGGGGGCTGATATGTATACATAGGCTATGTAAGTAAATTCACCTTTTATCTGGGAAGATGTATACATAGTCTATTGTCTGCTGCTATTCAGCCTTCATTTGACTTTTTATAAGCACTTTCATAACATTGTTAAGATGTACCTGGTTTAAACTCAGAACATTTTAAAGTCCTTGGGTTTGCTAATTTTTCATATAATGGTGCTATATTGAAAGAAAGCCTCCTAAATTGTCCATAGCTATATACAGGGCTTCAGGAAGTTGAAGCCTTCCTTCAGTCAGTCTTTGCCATATGATAAATAGCAAATGTTAGGCACATTAATGACACTTGGGACATTCGCGTTTTAATTACTATAAGCTAGCATCAGTCATTAAATCCTTAAGTCAACTTTCAGATATCCTGGTCAACATGTTAAAAAAAGAAAAGAAGAAAGTTCAGGAGGCTCTCTACTTGCCTGCCAAGGGTAGGCATGAATTCAGACACTCTCAGAGCCCACCCTTCCCCCTGGGAAACCCAGAAGGCGGCCAAAGAATGCTACTATCCTCAGCTCCCTCGCAGGCCCAGGACTTCAGCACTTTGGGGTACAGATCCAGTTTGCTCCACAAGAAAACAGGTCAGTTGACTAAATTTCCAGTATTTCTCATTGTCTGTAACGGATTTCAGTGTAGCGCCCTTTAGTTTTAAATGTATCAGGATGAAGGCTCAAACAATTTCTTTGTTAGAATTATTTTTCATAACTATCAATTCTCTTAAATTAAATACCAGTTTCCCAAACTGATGACTGAACTGAGAGGAACCAAGTATGATTTTTTTTTTTTTACTTTAGGTTCTGGGGTACATGTGAAGGTCATGCAAGGTTGTTGCATAGGTGCATACACAACCAGGTGGTTTGCTGCCTCTATTCCCAATTATGAATTTTCACAGAATTCAGCGGTATAATAGATGGATTCAGGGTAAGAGTAAAAAAGCTAACTTTAGAGAAATGGAATAAAAGCCTTTCTCTGATATGGGAAGGAAAGAATAATATCAGATGTTGGTGATGTGATGATGATGCAGTATTTATTTCTAAATCCAAATGAGCTACCTGCAGGAAAACTATTTTAAAATATTATCACAGTGTTAAATGACAATAAATTAAGAAAACTTTGTCAGATAATAGCATTTGGTGGGGTTGGGCCAACTCAGAGCCACTTTTCCTGTTTCCAGCTTTTTAATGGTGTGGCAGTCCTACTGCTACAGACTGTGCTTGGAGCTCAAGTTCATTCATGTATGTTTCTGTTAGGCCAGCAGAGAATGATGTGCACACAGGTGGCTGATGCCTTTCCCTTAAAGACACTGAGGAATCAGACCTATGGAATGTACTGGAACAAATGGGTAAAGCCATTCCCTTTTTGGCAACCGAAGTTGAAATTTTTTGTGTAAAGACATGTGGAATGGTCTACCTAACACTTGTGGTTTTCTGAAGGATTCAGCCTGGGAATAATTAAGCAGTGTGGTGCTCATTAAGAAGCACGTATTTTAGTTAAGGCAAGATTGAGAAGCATGGAAATATGTATTATGACATTACAGTTATTTATCTCTTAATTCTATATCTCCTTGCTTTGAATATTTTTTTCAGCAACACAGTAGAACGAACTCAAAATCCCAGGAAACCAAAAATGCTATTTACCATTTATCATGATGACAGTGGAATTATTAATGAAGATCAATAATTCCTCCCTATGGTAGTTTTCTATACATCTTTGGTGGTTGGAAAAATAAGTGGCCATTTGGACTGCTGAATTCATTAATTTATTCATTCTTTTATTCATTCGTCTTTCATTTGATGAATGTTTATAGAGTGCATCCTTTATTCTAGGCATAATGCTAATAAGTATAATTATAGCCACAGCTTACATAGCCCCTATATACATCAGGTACTATTCTAAGTTCTCTGCCTGGATTAACTCATTTAATCTTTATCCTATAAGTTCTTGTTTTATTTCATATTACAGAGGAAAGCATACACGAGCAAATGCAGGCTCTGACCTCAGAGTATGTACAGACTGACAGGGAAGAGAGCACTTTGGGAGGCCGAGGCAGGCAGATCACCTGAGGTCAGGAGTTTGAGACCATACTGACCAATATGGAGAAGCCCCATCTCTACTAAAAATACAAAATTAGCCAGGCGTGGTGGCACATACTTGTAATTCCAGCTTCTCTGGAAGCTGGGGCAGGAGAATCGCTTGTATCCGGGAGGTGGAGGTTGCAGTGAGCCGAGATCACACCATTGCCCTTCAGCCTGGTCAACAAAAGCGAAACTCCGTCCCCCCCCAAAAAAGAACAATCGATTACAAAAGTACATGTGTATATTACTGAGAAAGCACGTACCAAGAACCCAACTTCCAGTAAAAACTAGAAAAATCCCAAAAGGGGAGTAAAGGTAGAGATGTGGCTAGAAGGAATACTGCCACAGAGAGAATCAGTGGCTTGAATAGCTTTCCAGGCCTTTGTGGTGGAAAGGAGCATTTTAGGAAGTACAAAAGCCAGGTCTGGTTAGAATCTGGAGAGTGAGAGGCTGGGAAGACAGGTTGATTGACGTGGGCAGAAGGGATTGGCAGAGGACGCTAAGACTGCATAACCAGTTAGGAGGCCATGGCAGCAGGCCAGGCTGAAGGACAGGGATGATGCGAGAGAGGCAGGGGCATCAGAAGCATTTATGAGGTCGAGTGGACAGGGATCGGTGGCAGATTGGATGTTGCAGGTAAGGGTAAGAATTGGCCCCCAAGTGTCTGGGTGGCTGCCGAGGCTTTTCATGGAGATAAGAAGCAGTGAGTGCCTTTCCTGGCCCCACAATTTCCCCAGTTGACATTGTTGGCCATAGAGAGCATGGGATTGGCATATCTGCTGAAATAAAATCAGTACTCTTGTTAGAGCCTCATGGCTCATGATAGAGGGAGCTCTGTTTAATGGCCTTTTCCAAAGACACACACTATTATACTCATGCAGAAATGGCCTCAGATATCACTGCCCAGCCCCTCGTTGTGTGCCAGACCTTTTCTATTTCTATGTCTTCTTGCCCACACCATCTCCCTTGTCGTAATTCTTCTTCCCCACAGCATCTTATAATCACTCTCCTTCCTTATAATTATAGTCAAGACTTTGAGTAACTCTTTTCCTCCCTTGATATTGCTATTGAGACAGACTATAGTTTTGTTTGGAGGATGAAATAAGTTTACTTGAATAGAAAATCACTGCAAAAATAATGGAAATTTTTTGTAAAGACCAAGTACAAATGAGGTTAAAGTTTTGGAGAAGAACCTTCTATTTGAAAGGGTTTTTTGGTTGTTTTAACTGTCATTGGATATAGTTCTACCAATGTAAACAGAGGTAGGCTCACAAATGGACTGATAATGATCTAACCATTTGGGGGAGGGATTCATTGGGATTGATTTTTTTTTTTTTTTTGGCAAAGCTACAAATAGGATGAAAATTGTGGATGAATCAAGGGGGCAAAGAAACAGGTAACGGAATAGTTCATTACAATGTTTAAGATTTTAGGAGCTGATCAGGCTTTTATTACTGCATTATTTTATATATAAGAAGCTTATATAAACTAAACCAAAAACAAAAAAAAAATTTAATACGTATGTTGTTTTGAAAGTAATTCCGCCTTATGTCAGTCTTATCAGTTTCTATTAACCGTCCCCAGGACTGCTTCTAATGCAGAAAGTAAGTAAATCTGACCATTTCTGAAACTGTTGTGAAACTGTCTCCCCTTTGACAACCCTCTCCCATCTCCCATTCACCTCCACTTTACCACTTTATACTGAAAATAACTCCCTTCAAATTAGAAAATGAAACCAAATTCATGGTCCCCTAGAGAGCCCTGCAGAGTCATTGCACAAGCAGCCTGACAAGGCCAAGGAAGGTTAGGGGCTTGGGGATTTTTGTTGTTGTTTTGGAGTTTAAATGTCTGTTTTTGTTTCATTGAAATAATGAGAGGGATTGTTCAGCTCCATAGTTTGGAAAGAGTTGTATTGTTCACGTTAAAATAGGAGGAGTTTTAAGGTTGAGTTTTTTTAAAAAAAATTCTGTTTTAGTTTTCTGACTGCCTGTTCTAAATAGTCACCTGGAACCAGTCAGTATTCTGAAAGCCCTGATGACTCACCGCCTCCTTTAACTCTTTGAGATGCCAACAGAACCCACTCATCACAGATGATGCCACTGACATTTTAAAAGATGAAATGAGGACCGGGCGCGGTGGCTCAAGCCTGTAATCCCAGCACTTTGGGAGGCCGAGGCGGGTGGATCACGAGGTCAAGAGATCGAGACCATCCTGGTCAACATGGTGAAACCCCGTCTCTACTAAAACTACAAAAAATTAGCTGGGCATGGTGGCGCGTGCCTGTAGTCCCAGCTACTCAGGAGGCTGAGGCAGGAGAATTGCCTGAACCCAGGAGGCGGAGGTTGCAGTGAGCCGAGATCGCGCCATTGCACTCCAGCCTGGGTAAAAAAAGAAAACCCCACCCGTATCAAAAAAAAAAAAAAAAAAAAAAGGTGAAATGAAAGCCAAAACTGTAGCCTGGAGGCTCCAAACCCTTATCTCCTACTCCACGAGAATCTGTTGAGTCCCTGCTGTGTACATGTAAAGGCCCGGGTACATGTCGTAGGCAATGCCAAGGTGAACTAAGAATGGGTCTATGGTTTAGGGGGCTTACATTTAAACAGTGGAGGCTGGCTTTGTATCCAAAAAGCAGAGACTAAAATAACAAGTGCTCTAAGCAGGAATTGGAAAAAATACTGTGGGAATTCAAAGGAGAAGGGGAGGATTTAATAAGTAGATTGAGAAAAGCATTTCAGAGCAGGTGACATGAAAGTTAAATCTTAAAGGATGGGCAGAATTTGGACCTTCAGGATGGAAGAAAGAACATTTCATAACATTCCGGTCTTAAAGAATAATGTGAACATTTGTATGTCTTCTTTAGAGAAATGTCTATCAGGTAACCCATTTTTTTTCTTTTATATATATTTATATTATTGCACTTTATGGTCTGGGGTACATGTGCAGAACATGCAGGATTGTTGCATAGGTACATATATGGCAAGGTGGTTTGCTGCCTCCATATCACTGTCACCTATATCTGGCACCTATATCTGGCATTTCTCCCCATGTTATCCCTCCCCAACTCCCTACCCACTGCTGTCCCCCCCAAGTCTCCCCCAACAGACCCCAATGTGTGATGCTACCCTCCCTGTGTCCATGTGTTCTCATTGTTCAACACCCACCTAGGAGTGAGAACATGGGGTGTTTGATTTTCTGTTCTTGTATCAGTTTGCTGAGAATGATGGTTTCCAGATTCATCCATGTCCCTACAAAGGACGTGAACTCATCATTTTTTATGGCCGCATAGTATTCCATGGTGTATATGTGCCACATTTTTCTTGTCCAGTCTGTCATCAATGGGCATTTGGGTTCCTGGTCTTTGCTATTGTAAACAGGGTCTCAATGAATGTGTGTACATGTGTCTTTATAGTAGAACAATTTATAATCCTTTGGCTATATACCCAGTAATGGGATTGCTGGGTCAAGTGGAATTTCTAGGTCCTTGAGGAATTGCCACACTGTCTTCC